TACAGAGACCGTACTATCAATTTCTCTGCAAGGATGATGTCATTTTTGTTGAAAAGCAGGACAATATAATATTTACTTGGGTTCTCTAAATTACCAGTGTTATATTGTAGTTTCTTTTCCTTTTCTCATGTGCAGTCTCGACCATTTGGAGTGTCTCTTCTCATTGCCGGTCACGATGAGAATGGCCCAAGCCTGTAAGTAGTGCACTTTACATGTTTCTTAACTGGAATTTTCTTTTTTTTAACCAAGGATATGTTAGATAAGAATTTGATTCAAGTTTCTTAGCCATGGTCTGCTCCCAACCAAAAGAACTAGAGGGAAACTGGAAAAGGGTTAGCGTATGTTGTCCCGGGAGGTCTACTGGTTCAAAATAAAATCATTTATGGTCTAACATCCATATAACTGCCTACACTGTTTTGATGCATTTACCAATGTGTAAGCTTTGTTAACTGCAGATAATTTTTTTATTTAGTTAAAATCAATACTTCTGTTATTATATGCTGGTGATTTCTTGCTCCTTAGATCCAAAAATAACTATTGTGCAGATACTACACTGACCCATCTGGTACATTTTGGCAATGCAATGCCAAGGCTATTGGCTCAGGTTCCGAAGGTGCTGATAGCTCTCTGCAAGAGCAATATAACAAGGTATATTTTTATTTCAGAATTCTTCTTTGAACTAGGGCCCGAACATATATTTTACTCTGGGAATGCTCGTTAATCTTGTTAGACTTGAATCTGGAACTGATGAATTTCCACCCCAACAGAGATAATCAACCTATACTCAACCCAGCGCACAGGATTAGAGTTTTTTTTTGTTGAAATTCATTTGGTTATTGCAGGACTTAACTCTTCAAGAAGCTGAGACAATTGCATTGTCCATTTTGAAACAAGTAATGGAAGAAAAGGTGAAAGCTTTTAGCAATATACCATAAGGACTCCATTTGCATGGTATCTTACATGATGTTTTTATTTGACTGTCATCAAATACTCTTGATTCAGGTCACACCCAATAATGTTGATATCGCGAAAGTGGCTCCAAGATACCACCTTTATACTCCTTCAGAAGTGGAGACCGTCATCAACCGACTATGAGAAAGCACTATCATTTCTAGTCGTCTCCGGTTTTGCCTGCATTTGACGGGGAAGGTTACTTTTTTGTTTCTGCTTGTGACTTTTCTTTTATGGAGTTTACTACAATCTGATGTTTGTTGGATAATTTTACATCACTTCATCAATATGAAAAAAATATATTTTGTGCTTCGACTTGATTGCTTGTTAATTTTTTATTACAACTTATATTTGACTTATGAATCTAGTTAGTTTATGACAAGTAGAATATCATTAAGTTGATGACTATCTCGGACAACAAGATTCATTTTCTTGCAACCACCATCTTATTGACGAAAAATGTGCATTCAATATTTTACCTTTACAATGTCAAGTTTTCATGTGTTCTAATTTATGAATTAAGGTAACTCGTTTAGTAGATGAATGTCGAAAAAAAAAACTATTTTTCAAAATGAAAATGTTCTGTTAGTTATATTCGTTTCTTTGGAACTTAGGTAAATGCCCTATCAGTCAGTAAATTCAGATAGAAACAAGAGGCTTCCATACAATATATGAGCCAATTATATAATCTAAGAATTTAATTAATTTTTTTTTTTTTTTAAAAGAGAACGAGGACTGTCTTAAACTAATAACATTTCCAAACATTAAGCTAAAAGTAGAGTAGTCCTTCAAATTATTTAATCAAACTTGAAATTTTATTGTTCACTTCTTTCCACCACAATACAAATAGGAACCCTTTGAGGTAGCCACCTCTTAATCATATATCAATATCAATTATTTCTGATTGTTATACTAAAATAAGTCTAAGAATTTTTATCCATGCAAAAGTCACTCTAAAAATCTGTATTGAATTTATAAACTCCCAAGAGATGATGGAGCCAAAGAATAGAGTTTGGGTTATTCTAGCCCCACAAACAACCCAGAGCACAATCATATGCAATAGGAGATTCTGAAAAGAGAACAGGCATTCGTTAACCTTTAATTATTATTGTCACCATTTCTAAACTTCTATGAACACCAATCAAAGGAACTGCACGAAAATATGCCATCTGTATAAAAAGCATAAATGACTAAACAAAATAGCACAAGCAAAGATTCAGTTTTCAGCATCATGTCCGCATAATAAGGATATTATCTCATCTTCAGCTCTTTCTCAAGATGAGTTTATATGACATCCGGTATAGGCATGATTTATTATATGGGGTTCGACAGAACTTCTGAGCTCTGCTTCTTTGACTAAAGCTAAAAAACAACTGACGAAAATCCTACGCTACACAAGGATTTAACTTTAACTACTTAAAACGTGAACACTTCACGTTTCTGCAAACAATCTTGAGCTCCTTCATCACTCAGCCACGGAACTCATCCATGAAACTCTTGTGGAAGTCTGTCAGACGTGACACAACAGCAGGAATCTTGTCTTCTTGTGGCAGTATGGTGCACCTAAAATGCAAAGTTCCAGGAACCTATGGGAAAACAAATATAAATCAGTAGAACCCCACAATAGTTTTATATCCTCTTTTCTGCCTAATTCTCTCTTCTTCCTTTTGCAATAACAGCATTTAGGATAGTTTACCCAATAAAAGCAGTCTGCAGTTTCGACCCATATAGGTTAACAGACATGCAGGAAGTAGAAAATGGATGATGAATTACCTGCCCAAAGCCAGAGCCAGGAACAACAACGATTCCAGTGGCATTGAGAAGTCGGCGGCAGTAGAATGCGTCTGGGGATGTTTTGGCAGCTTCTGCAGCTTTAATTGCCTTTTCTGGTAGATGAATACGGGGAAAGAGGTACATTGCCCCTTCTGCTTTGTTGCATGTTACACCCTCTAAACTGTTGAATGCGTCTTCCAATGTCTACATCCACGATAGGCGGTTTTTTAATTGTTTCTCATACAAAAAGGAAACGGAGATTTTATAATAATATCATTCAGGTCGTGTTAACATATCTTAGATAAAATTGGAAAAAATGACATTACAAACTATTACATTTTCAATTCATAGAATTTGATACAAGTTGCTCTTTGAAATCCAATTAGCCTGTATTTCTGCTATACTATCCTCCGATAATTATGCATACGCTTTGGAAAAGTACAAATGTAACTATGTAATTTATCATCCCCTGTAAGTCGTGATAACTTGAATTCTCATACCTGGTCTTTTTAATTTATGTTCATCATATATTTTAATTTTTCAGTTTATGATATATGTAAATTGAAAAAAGAAAGCGGAACGTGTGGAACAAACCTTCGCACGCCTTGCCAAGGATGAGAGGATTCCATCCCTCTCTGCACGATATGATTCATATGATTCATCTCCAACCTGCATAAGTATTCATTAATTTAGTTTCTTACCAACTTTAACCAAAAATAACGAGTAAATTTGTCAACTTCTCAAAATAAAAAGTTGTTAAAGCATAACCCAGAAGGCTTGAACACTTGATCATGATTCATTATCCTCTCAGTTCAAAGCCTCGCTGAACACTTCTAAATGCTTAACAAACTGTTGCAAATTATGATTTATTTCTAATTTACCGACAAATACAATTCCAGTTTGCCAAACTTGACTCAAACTAATTATCGGCCATATATCCAAGTCAGAGGAAGAAAATAAACAAAATGTATTTGTTAGACAAAGAAATCTTTACCTTAGGAGGGCTCATTACAAGACTGGCAAGAATTTGGCCAGAAATATTAGAGCATAGATTAACCGATGCCACCTTGTATATTTGTTCCCTTATATCAGGGGTAAACCCGGTGACCTCCATGTAACCTCCTCTTTTTCCGCATTCTCCATAGTAACCTGGAGACAGTGAAAAGATTGCATCAGTGTCATAAAGTTTCTTACTTTTGTGAATAGCACCTTACCATGACAAGTCAAAGTGATAAATATAAAAACCGATTTACCTTTTGAGACCGACTGGAAAGATACTAAGGAAATATCCTTCTCTCCGTATCCCATGGACCGAGCAATCTTCTTAAATGAATGAAATTTCTTCTCAGGAACATAAACATTCTCTTGATAGACCTGTATAGATCATCAGATATTCTTCAAGGTGATCCAGATAACTGACTACTGAGGCTTGAGTTCACAAGCTTATTAAAGTCCAAAACCACCCGAATTCACCTACCTCATCTGCCAAAAGAACAAGACCTTCTTGCCTACAGAACTCCACAATTTCCCGTTGGTTATCTTCTGCAAGAACCTGCAGGCGCAACTCATCAAAAAAAAAAAGATGGAAGTTGAAAAAATGATTAAGATGCTTCTTCTGATTTTTCCACCAACCTGCCCCGTTGGGTTGCCTGGATTTATTACTACCAAAGCCCTAACAGTAACACCCTTTGACCTTGCTGCCTCTAATTGCCTTTTAACCTCGGAAAGTTCCAATCCCCATCCTGTTGCTTCATCAAGATAATAAGGAACCTATAGAAACCCAAAAAAGGAGGGGACTCAATTCTTGAGGATGTTATGAGTAAGTGTGTAATCAATTATATAGATTTTCTGAAGCTTAATGACGTCAAAGTTATCTTGTTAATGCTCTTTTTTGACACACCAGAGTTCCACCATGGAGGGCAATCGAAGCCGAATACAGAGGATACTGAGGAATGGGACAAAGAATTCCATCCGCCTCTGAACTTATCAGCAATTGCATCATCATATGGACCTAAAAGTATTACAAGAGAAAGTAAAACACCCAGTAAGTACTACAAGCCTTGAAGCTCACATTGCATAATCCAGGCTATTCATTAGGATCTGAAGAGCGTGATGCTAAAAGTTACCGCAGGGCTTGCTCCATCAGTTAAGAAAATATCATTAGGATCACAATGAAAACCATCACGAACTTCAATTCCAGCCGCAATTGTGTCCCTTAATCCCTTGATACCCTGAGATACAAAGACAGATCATGAGTCACACAAGTTCTTTCAAGTGTTCCATTAAAATATTTTTTTTTAAAAAAAAAAAAGTGAAAACTGATCATAACCTGGCTGTGACTATAAGCACCAGTTGCTCTTCCAGGAATCTGATCCAGGATTTTCCAAGCTCGTTCAATAGCATCCGCACTGCAACAGATTAAAGAGTGAATTACAAAAGGAGTTTAAATAATCCAAAAATTCTACAAGGAAATACTTTGCACTAAAACAATAAAGCAAGATTCAAAATTTAAGCTTAGGAGTCTCCATAGCATAAAACTTAAACAGACTTTTAATCCAATACCTGAACAAACCCTGGGTTTCACTTCTGTCCAAGATGGCTGGATGGTCACATAGTGCAAGAACCTAAAATAAAGAAAACCAAATTAGACTGCTTCCAATTAACCACTTCCATGACACTCTCTTGAAAGCTAACCTACCTCTCGGAAAAATGTTATTGGCTGCTGACCAAGAGACTGCGGGTTTCCAATGTTGCAGTATAGAATCTGCATAATGTTATCAGAAAACACATTGGATTATAAAAATGACCTTCAAAGTAGCAGGCAGACTTAGAATCATTGAAAGCAAATGAATATGTGAAAGCTATTTAATTTCAACTAACGAGATATACTTGTTCTCACATATTTGCTAATTCATCCAGGATATTTGGTTTCAAAAGACTTTGTTTTTAATTCAAGGGCCATCACATCAATTCAGCAGAAGATTTAGGGAACCATACACACCTTAACTAGCTTGTAAATTCAACATTTTCTATACACAATACACATATATATGTTAAATTGGGTAGAAAACCCTTTGTGCCCTTTGAAGAATTCTTCTTTTCCTCATCAAAAACAAACAATATACATTTGCTAAATCAACAGATAAGGCCATACCTCATCAAAGGGAAGAGCACCTTTCTTAGTCATTAATTCTTCTTGCAACCGCTGTGATAGGAAAATTTATTAAAGTGGAAAACAAAGAATCATCGCTTCCAAATTTAGAACAAAGCCTGTATTATATCACTTTACCTGGGCAATAGAAACAATCTCTCCACGGACAGCATACTCACATTTCAGAACCTGGGAAAAGAAAAAACTAAGCGGTCAGCCAAACGATCTCTGGTCAAAACTGTAAGTAAAGAAGATTGATGAATAAGAAATCAAAACCATAAGAGAAAAGCAAAAGTTTTGATCATCAATGTCAAAGAGAAGAAATAGTCAACTCCTACATTTCAATGGGGTTAAACATCAAGGATTGGATTGATCAAACCAGACATGTTAGCAAATTGAACTCGGCATCCAGTAAAACAACAGTTCAACTATTAGATTTTTTAAAAAAAAAAAAAAACCCATCATTATCATACCCACACGACAAACAAAAAAAAAAAGATTTTTCTTTTGAAAACTTACAAAGATGAAAAAGAAAACCCAAATAAAAAACAAATTGAATAGGGAAATGAGAGTCAAAACAATCTAAAAAGACCCAGCACAAGAAATGAAAAGAAAAATCGATCGAAGCAATATACCTTAGGATTGAGGGAGTCAAGGGTGACGGGAAGAGAGAAATCTGAAGAATCAGATGAATCCATGGATGGCTCGGAAGAGAAGAAACGTGAAGAAGATGAAGAGAGAAAGTAAGTGGGGTTGTTTGGTTGCTGATATCGAGAAGAGGAACGTTCCAAGAGTGTTCTGGCTCTGCCTATCACGAATCTCCGCATGGTTTCGGTGGTCTAAAAGGCTCTATATATATATGTGGGTGTGTATAGATAGATAAATACAGCGACAAAGATGGGTGGTGGGTGTCGTTTTTCCAGGAATTAAAAGCGCTTTCTGACGCAACTCGGAACCGCCTTAGCTCTCTGCCTCTCTAGTTTTCTCAGCACACAGTTTGGGAAATTTTGCTGCGCGTGTTCTGACGAACAATTCAATACTACCACTTCACTTGTCCTTTACCATTCTCCTCTTTATATTTACCTTTTCAAGTGGAATGTTCAAACAGGAAACCCCCAGATCAGATTAAAACGCCAACTAACCACCAGGTGGCTACAAGTATAAAACAGCTTCTCTGCGTAATTATTTGTTTTTTTTATTAATTTTTAAGAAATTATAGAATATTGAATGTTAAATACATTGTTTATTTTTAATAAATTTAATATGTAAATGAATTTGGAAATTTATTCTTCAAGTGTTGTAATATAAATTAATTATTTTAAAATGCATAAAAGTAAATTTAAGGCACGCCAAAGTATTTTTTTTTTATATATAAAAAAAAAAAAGAATTGACCAGGAAATGAAGGAATAATAAAATAAATGAATTTATAATATAATATTCAGTTATGAAATATGTACTCTAATTGTGCCATTTTTCTGGCTTTGTGGTTGACTTCTTCTAACTTAATTTGCTTATATATAATATTCAGTTATTAATGTGCTATTGGCTCCTCACTCTCACTTTTTTTTTTTTTTAATAGTTATATTTTTATATAAATTTTATTAATTCATGTTCGTGTATCATATATTTGTAAATATACTATTTTTTTTTTTATAATATGATTGGATTTTAATGGGGAAACCATTAATATGTTTGTATTTTTTTTTTTAGTGGGATTTATTACCATTTATAACAGATTTGGTAGGTGTAGTGATTATTTTCTTACTATTTTTTACAGTTTGTTTCCTGTGCAAATTTCTCTCTTTAACCTCATGACACCATAATTTATATAATATAAGTTTAAATTCTTTTCTCCATGTCAAAAAAAAAATGAAAAGACTAATTTATAATTAAATAAAAGAAATATATTAGTATTGTGTACCTTTAATTTAATTGCTTCAATAAAAAATTTTTAAAAAAAAAAATTGATTAAAAATGTTTTGTTTTATAATTTGATTAAATGGGCTTCGGCCTTGGCCCGAGCCCAATGGGTCGTCATACCTAAGAATTTTAATGACGTTCAGAAATAAATTTCAGTAAAAATCTTAATTATGAATTGTATTGTCATTTAATTTTTTAAACTTTTTAGTTCTTATTTCTGAAAATTTTTATATACCAATTGTGATTCTATAGAAGTGAAGTTGGGTGGAGTACTTTTATAACTATTCTGAAGAATACTACAAGATCATGGTCAAAACAAAGGACCATAGAAATACAACCCAATTCGATTTTACTGTAAAATACCAAGAAAAGAGAGAACCCCCCCCCAAAAAAAAGAAAAGTTTTCAGATGATTTGGATGCTTTGTATCTTCAAATCAATGTTGCGTCATACAAAACATTAGTTTCCGGCAACCAATCCGCACCCTGGATGAACGTTCCCACAGTGAATTTCCCGGCCTCATTATCCGTTAGAGCAGGCTTATAACCCGCCCATTTAACCCTTTTCTCGACAGCCGAACCCAGGCCAGTGTTTCGGTACTCACCATAGAGGATAGTGCTGGGTGGATCAACATTGGCAACCCATGACATCCACCCAACTGGGTTCAAGATTGATCCGATCTCAGTCTGCATAACAACAGTCGTTGAAAAATCTTTCCAGGGCCTACCAAGATATGTTGGAGCTGTTACTGTATCTAAAGCAGATATTATACACTTGTGAATTGAAATTCCAGTGTTTTGGTTAGGGTCCTTCTTGCCCTGAGCTGTGATGGTGTTGAATTGTCGAGGCATAGGTTGTCGAGGTTGAATGTTGCAGTTCTGGAACACAACGGCTGCATTGCCAAAAATGAAGTCGATAGTGCCAGTAATATCACATTCGCGGTAGAACTGTCTGTTGGAATGTGCATAGAGGGTGTCCTGGAACCCATCAAACGAGCAACGGTGGAACACAGAGAGATCAGAACCTGACCGGAATGCCACTGCTTGGTGTTTGGCTGCACCTGCTTCGTTTATGAATTTTATGTCTCTTGCTATGAATCCTTTTCCTTGCACAGCTGAAAGTAACATAGAAACTATAATTAGAACTTGCTTTATCGTTCTAGCATTTCGGAATTGAAAAAACAATTTAAACTACATGTTTCATTTGCCTTCATGCCTCAGAGACATTCGAAACCAGTTCTATCAGTCGAAAAGTAAAAGAATTGAATAGTTTCTACAAAACTTAAAACAGGTAGCAGGATTCATCTAATGTTTGAAGCGTCTTCATCTTCATGTATATTATCTATCCAACACAGAGATTACAAAGATTAAGCAAACAAGGCAGAGCATATTTCATAAATCACTTATCTATCATACAAAGAACACAGCATTTTCGTAAAATACCCCAAAATATCAATCTAAATTGGTGTTAGATGCTTCATAATGGTTTTAGCACTGCATTTTTTTTAATGGAGTTGTCCTTCCAAATATGCATGCAACACTCGATAAATTACCCACATTTTAAATGGATTGATAAACCACCATTATCTTATAGTTATTGATTTGATTCCATCCGATGGATGAGACAAAAACAGCAATTTGTTCTTATTTAATCCACACCACAACCAGACAAGCCAATCCATAAATGGGTTACAGGCATCTTCGTGAATTATTAAAGGAATGGGACCTCGTGAAAAGGTTGATAAAAAACGAGAGGCTCACACGGTAAAGTTATTACCATATGCCATCATAAAAACAAACATCAGAGTCAATACCCATGCCGAGTAAAGAGCAAAAACTTGATATTTTAGGTAAGATCTATCCTGTCAGGTTCACATGGGGACGCCTTGATGGCGTCTTAATCTCCATTCATTGCACATTACACATCCTTGCTGCCCATGATCTCCTCCTTCTTTCAAGGATGCACATGGCACATGGCACATAGGTGTATCTTGCTGGTATCATATCAAGTGTAAGAAGTTTCTTAATATGATCTTCTTGTTTATTCAGGAGGTTATACCAGTTCCCAGTAGAATTAAAATTCAAAAACAAGATTATTCAAGCTAGATAACTAACATTTCATTGAAAGCAATGCCACCGAAAATCTAAGAAAAATATTCAGTCTTAATATGATCATGAACAAGAATCAAGCTAAACCCAGATGAATAATCCCATAAATGGTCAAAATTAGTAATTAAAAATTAAAACTTTAATTAGAAATTAAAGGACTCACCAACAGTAGCAGTGGCATATGTAGGAGTTCCATCCATGAAATTCAAGCTGCCGGAGATAATAGTCTTGCTGCTACCATCTCCATACATCATCACATGCCACTTATTCTTGTCCAAAATCACATTCTCCACATACTTACCTGCTTTCACATATATCACAAATCTTGATACACTCTTCTTTGGCACGGCGTTTACAGCCTCCTTTACGGTCGTGAAGTTACCAGAACCGTCTTGAGCCACCGTCACATTAGGAACCGGGTTACTTTCCTGCAGCAGCCTCCTATCGCCGTGGCTAACCCAGCTTGGGAATCCTGAATCAGATGACACCTCAAGCCCCATTAACCTCCTATGAATCGGGATGTTGAAATCAGCCAACAAACCCATGATTTTTGAAGCAATTGCCAAACTATTGCTGGAAAATTCAGTGGAGTTTTTCATAATGGACTTGAGTTGTTTGATTTCCTCAGAGTTCTCGTACTTGGAGGAGTTCTGCTTTAGCTCCTCTAATGCGTCTAAACAAGCTTCTTGGTCGGTGACTGAAGTGCTCAACCAAGTCCTGATTCCATCAACCTTTAATGGAGATAACAGCTTCTCTCCTTCATCAACTTTCATGGAAGATATAGAATCATTTAGATGATCTAAAGCATCTTCAAACAGGGTTTCGCATACGTCTAAAGCAGCTCCAAGCCGGGGATCCTTGGCTGCATCCTTGAGCTTAGATGGCAACCCAGTAAGCTTAGATAGTTCATCTAGGGCTACTTGTATAGAGTATCTGAAAATGATTTCTGGGTCGGTTGAGTTTGATGATTCAAGAGAGGAGATGCTGGAGTAGCAGGAATCAGGGTACAGAGTGGCGCTACAAACTGTTTTTAGTGAGGCGGCGGGGGTAAATCCAGAGGACGGTTTTGATTCATTATTTCGCTTATGTACCAGAACTCCTACAACAGCACCGATTATAACAGCTACAAGAACAATGGAGGAGACGATGAGGATGATGAGACGCTTACGCGTTTTTCGGTGGAAGGCTTGTTCTTCAGCTGGATCTACCTTACCGTAGCCTTTAAATGAATTGATGGTATCCATACTTGGGTTTTTAATGGAGCTCGGTTGGTGTTTGGGTGATGGGAAAGTGGAAAAGAAAAGAGATTTAAATGGGGAGGGGAAGAGAGAATCTGGGTTTGGTTTCTTGGGTGCTTCTGCTTACATTTTTATATGATCATGAGATGGGGATGTGAACGCGGAATACGCCAATTGGAAGACGTTTAGTTGAAGTTTTGATGGGTAAATAGATGATAGAATTCTGTGTTTTTGAGTTTTTCTTTTTTTCCTGCAAAACAGCATTATTATTTCTCGCTGTGTTAGCAACTAGCGTGCGTACCCCACCTGCCAACTTTCACTTTCACACACCAGTATCCAATATAAAATGTTTTTTTAAAACATGAAATTTTGTTATAAAAGAAGACCAAGTGTTTCTAAATTTCAATTTAAATATGTAATTCCATCTCTCACATCATCCCATATGGCGGCATGTCCACCCACAATCACTACTTTAATTTTAATTAAATAAATCAGTTTTAAGTAAGATTTTTATTTTATTTTATTTTATAATTTTCGGTCTCCTATTATGATTAATTTGGAAGGAGCATCGTTTGGTTCTCTTCCACTTTAGATTTGTTCTGTATGCATCATGATTAAATCCAACCATGTGACAGACAATAAATAAAAAAATGACAAAAATCTCCTCCGCTTTGCCGTTAATTACGCCAATAATCTCTCATTTGACATTTTCAAGTCAAATATTTTTGTATAAAATATTTATTTAAAAAAAACAAAAATTAATTTCATTATACGAAAAATATTACACATTGGTAACAAAAGTTAAAACTCAAACCCATAAGTTATTTCTTCCCCTAAATAGGCCTATGCCGACAATAATTAAAAGCCCATTAAGGCTTTTATTCAGTTTAATTTTGCATAAATATATAAAATTAAACTTAAAATTTACAAACATTTATAGGCCCAGAGAGAATGGGAAACCCGTTGACCCCAACCAACCGGCTCCCCCGATGAACCTTCCCGCCGTGAATGGCTGCGCCTCGCTCGCACTCGTTAGCACCCTGAACCCTTTCCACTTCACCCTCCCGGACGTATTCGCTCCGGCGCCGGTGTTCAAATACTCCGCGTAAAACAACGTGTTCAGCGCGAAATTCCCGCTCCACTCGTGCCACCCCGCAGGTCTAATCACGTTCGTGATCGACGTCTGCATCACCACCGTCCTCGAGTACTGCTTCCACGGCCGACCTAGATACGTGGGGAAGCTGCTTATCACCGGCGCCAGATCCTTCGTGGCGGCGATCCTGCATTTCTGGATAACGATTCCGGTGTTCTGGTTGGGGTCTGTTCGGCCCTGCGCCGTCACCATGTTTTTCTGGCCGGAGTTGGGTTTCCGGGCGTGGATGTCGCAGTCCTGGAAGACGACGGCGGCGTTGCCGAAGATGAAATCGACGGTTCCGGCGACGAGACAATTGACGTAGAACTGGCGGTTGGAGTGGACGTAGAGGGTGTCTTGGTAGGCGAGGAAGTCGCACTGGTAGAAGGCAGAGAAATCAGAGCCGCTGCGGAATGCGACGGCTTGGTGTTTCGACGGACCGGCCGTGTTCTCGAAGGTTATGTCGCGTGCCAGGAAACGTTCGCCGACGGCAGCTGCAATTTTGCCACGTGTTAAACTTAATTTCGAGCAATGCTATTTATTTTCTCAATAAATTTTTAATTTAAGATTGTAACAAATAAATAATAATTTAATTTAATTATTTATCTAAAAATATAATAAATTTAATAAAATTCAACCTAAACTTAATCATTATATTCTCAACTAAAATTAATATTTATTTATTAAATAATGAGTTTGGCGTCGAATACAAGTTCAAGCATACTGACTGACAAGCTAATTAGGTGGGCCATGCCACGTTGAAAAATATGAGGTGGATGAGAAAAATTAAGATTTAAGGAGACAATCAAATAAAAGTACGCGAGAACATGTGCCATTTTTAATATATTTTTTTGGTGGAGTATAAATTAATATGTTTTAATAATTAAATAAGATTTTTTACGTAAGAATAATATAATTAATGAAAAATAAAAATATACAAAACACATACTTACTTAGAAGCTTATAGAAAGGAACAAAAAATGCCCACTTTCTTTACGTATTACCACTGAAAAGTCCATGTCTTGCCATTTCAAGCTAAGAAAAAAGCTTGATTTATAAATAAATATTATCAATAAATAATTAAATAAACTTAATTCTTAGAAGAACTGATGAACATGTATGGACAAAGAGTCTATAAACAGCCATGTGCTCGGTGGCCATTAGAAATCATGTCACTCCAATAATATGCCACAAAGTTTTAATTAATTTAATTCACCTTATTTTCCAGTTATCTTCTTCTTCTCTACTATTTTTTCTAAAGAATCTTTTGCTTTTTTCTTTCCCTTCAAAAAAAAAAAAAGAAGAAGAAGTAGAAAACTTTATCTTGTATTTCAATTAAAAAAAAAAAAAAAAAAAACCGATTGCCCACTTAATATTCTGATTAATATGCAACACAACAAGAAACATCACCACCAAATCATGTAGCCTATATGTATAGATTATGTACGTATATGTATATATATGTGTCTATATTAAGCGAGCTTACCGACGGTGGCAGAGTGGAAAGTGGTGCTGCCATCTTTGACGTTTCTGCTTCCAGTGATGATGGTGCTAGTCCTGCCATCGCCCATGAACATTATATTCGTCTTCTTCTTCGAAACATCCACATTTTCCCTATAAACACCCGCCTTGATTCTTATCACGTACCGGCTCTTACTTTTATCCGGCGCGGCAGCCACCGCAGCTGAGACTGTCTTAAAATCTCCACTTCCATCAGCGGCAACCACCGCGTTCGGAGTCACCGAAGACGACTGCAACAGCCTCCGGTCACCCGCGGATAACCACTCCGGCCACCCTTCTTCGTCCACACCACCCTCCTTCAGCTTCCTGTTCGTACTACCTTGTCTTTTAAGCTCCTCGTTAGCTATGTCAGTGTCCGTCATGTTTTTTATCATGGCAAGAGCGTTACTACACATTTTCTCGACATGAACTTGACCAGCCAGCAACGCTTTGCGGATACGCTTGTCGGCCTCGTCGTGTGAAAACCCGTCGAGGCATGTTTCTTGGTTGGTTATGGCGGAGCTGATTAGGGTTTTTAAGTCATCAGCGTGTTGGGATAATGATTTCTTGTCAGGGTATTCCTCGAGGTCCTCCACTGCTTCATGGAGCTCGTCGAGAGTCTCGTCTATGGTCTCGAGACAGTCATGAAGAGCAGTCTTCTCACGCTCGGTGATATTATCAAGTTCCGAGAGCTTCTTGACTGCGAAGTAGTTGTGTTCGACGGCGGTGGTGGTGAGGTTTAAGGAAGCCTCAATGACATCCTTCTGACTAGTTACTTTCCTTTTGGACTCAGCAATGGCGGAGTAGCATAAATCGGGGTAGAGTGTGGAGGTACAGGCGGATTTGAGTACGGCGTGAGAGTGGGAGTCGAGGACATGACGGGGGGTTTCGGAAGAGTGAAGTCCGGCGACAATGCCGATGACGGCGGAAACGATTAAGAGAGATCCAAAAATGGTGATGAAGAGTTTTTTCTTGCTTGGGTTGGAGGAATAATCCGACATTCTGGCTAAGGTATTTCGGATGCGTGACATGATGAGGAAAGAAAAGTATAAAAGTGAAGAGAAATGAGGAGGCTTGATGGGTGGGAGTGAGGTGTATAATGGGATTTATACATGTCCGGAGCCAGAGGACAGGGGCCCTCCCACGTGGAGATTTTTTTTAACAAATGGTTCGTTGTATTTTGCATTCAATATCATTTGTATAATTATTATAAAGGTTATAGAAAAAGTTTTCTAGGGTAAATAAATTTAATACTATGGGTTCAAATGGGGGGTTCTGTAATAAGTTAAACGTAAATTTTTATCTTAAACTATAAATAGTTATTGCGAACAAATAATTGTTGGATTTAGTTAATGGATTATTTAATAATTAAAAATAAAATTATTTGTCGTGATTTCTGAATATCTTATACTTTATTAAGACAAACCTAATAATATCATTGTTTTGATATTATTATTTGCTAATTCCGTTACGCATTAAAATTTGAAAGGAGTGTCATCACACGTAATTCGAGTGGAGGGAATAATTTGTTATTAAAAATTATTGATATTATTTTCTAGTTATTAATAGTTAATTTTGTTTTTGTTTTATATTTTAAAGTTATAAATTTAAATTTAATTAAAAAATACTTTTTTTTTTTTTTTTTGTTTTTTACAGTATCCAAAACAGTGAAAAAGAAAAAGTACGTTTCTTGATTCTCGAGTGACCATTTGTTACTTTTACTGTTTACGATATTATTAAAAACCACGTGCTTTTATCCACCGTATAATATATATATATATATATATTAGAAAAAGGTAAAATCTCCGATTCTGGAGCACCCACATTACCGCTGGCATGCATATATAAAAATTGAATGTGTGATTAGTCAGGACCCGAACAATGACCGCCAGAAGTATTTAAAAATGGATTAATTAATATTTAATAATGAGTATTTAATTTAATGAATTAATTTAAGTATTTGTTTATTTGGTTGGTATTCAGTTTAGAAAAAAGCATTGGATGCCAACCAGGAGGGCGGGAATGAACTTTTATCTTGCCAAAAGACAGAGAAGAAAAAAATAAAAATAAAGTAGAAAAGTAATCTATATATATATATATGCGAAAGAGCAATGGAGACGCCACTACGTACGACAAAAGGTATCTCAATTTCCAGCCATGCACTTTTAAATTCGTCACCTTTATATTTTTATTTGTTTAAAAAAAAAAAAAGGGAATAAATAGATAATAAAAGGTGCTAAAATTTTGAATAGCCAATCGAGGAAAGTTATTGGTTAGGTGAGTATTATAAATTTACTAATACATAATTAAATTTCAACGAATTGTTTTTTATAATTTATGAAAAGAAAAAGGAAGAATAACTATTTAAGGCTGCTCAACTTTACGCAGAAGAGTTTGGTTGTGGCATATGGCCTGATCTATTAAAAACTATTAATTACGATAGTTAGTTATAATTAAAATTAGGTGGCACAGAAGATTTTTACAACTCAAAAAAAATAAAATAATCCAACCAGAAAAATATTTATATATACTATACTGTATTTAAAAAAAAAAATAAAAAAAAAAATCAGTAATTATTTAAAATATTTTTGAATATATTTTTTTATAAAAATAAAATTGAAAACGCGGTTGTCTAGTACAGCCCATAGAGAATCAAGACAAAACAACATAATGTACGTAGGGTGTAAGTGTCGGATTAAATTAATATTTTATATATATTATACGTAACCGTTGAAAGAAAGGTATAATTGTAAACTTTGCTAATTTTTAATTACGAACAACCTGGCACGTTGAAAATCAATATTATTTTATTAATTACTATATATTTTTATATAAAAATTTATAAATTTAAATTAATATGTGATATCCTCAACTAAATTTTCATACTGCAAGAGATTAGTAGTAAAAATTTGTTGATTTGGAGTAGTTAAAAATTGCTGATGGTTGGTGATTTCCGTGGATAGAGGAAACAAAAGAAAAAGACAATTAGAACTCGAGGAGAAAATACCTGTATGTATACGTGTGTGTACTTATATTTTATGTTTAAATATGTCCACCTCCTACTTAAAACACCTAATTTCTTTTCGTTTCAGTTGGATTTTTAGTTCGACTTCGTCAAGAGTTTCTAGTCATCGTCAATTGGTAGCGTCCATTTGCATCACACATGTCCGTCCCTGTGAATACTAAACTCGAATACAATATGAGTTTAAATATTATATATTTATATTTATAAAAAATAAAAAATATATATATATATATATAGTACGTTAAATTTAGATGAATCTAAAAAAATCATAATCCCTTTCGTTTCGTTTCAGTTGGATTTTTAGTTCGACTTCGTCAAGAGTTTCTAGTCATCGTCAATTGGTAGCGGACATTTGCATCACACATGTACTAAACTCTGTTAAATTTAGATGAATCTAAGGCAAATCATATTTATCTAGTAAACTTAAACTCCGTTAGATCTAAAATCATATTTTAACAAAAAACAAATAAAATAAAAATCTTATTAAATGAGATTTGAAGAGATAAAATTAAAGGGGTTCGGCTGCAAAATATTTATTGCTACAAGTGAAAGTTGTAGCAATCAATATTGAGGAGGTAGCTTATGTAGAGATGTTGGTGCCTTCACATTCAATTTTAGTTTCAAGTTTCAACTATCTATTCTTCATCCTCCAACTCATACATATACACAATAAATAGTAGAATTATCTATCGCAAATCATGCTTTAATTTAATACAATTTTCAATCAATCAATCAATTAAAATATAATTATTTGACCAAATTTCGTTTCATGCCTAATGGGTCCATATTTATCATTCTTTTTTTTTTTTTTTTCTCTTTTTCAAAAGAAAAAAGTGTGGTAGCGGTATTCTTTTCTCCTTTTCTTTTTAGGTAATAATGACCCAAACTTTTATGTGTGTATATATATATATATGTGTACTATAGAAAAGTAAATACTTTATTTTAAATTTAACAATGTTTTGACATACCCATATCTAATGTAGGGGTTTTACCATACCCATACACTTTAACTTAACCCTAAATTAAAAACACACAGAAAAACACATTACACGAAAAAGAAGCCACGTCAAGTGGGTAACTTGTTTTATGAACAATCTTGATAATGTTAGGACTCACTTAATCAAGCTTTATGGTGTTCTATAGAATGTCTAAAACTTACTTGACATATTTTACGATTAATCAAATTAAAAAGATGTCTCATCTTAATTTCGAGATACGAGAGAATCATTCGACCTCTTTTCGTATTGACTGCAAGAACAATACTTGTGATGATCGTTGTTGGGCCCATGACATCCTCCTAATAGGCAATTCTATATTCCTCTTGAGTTCCTATATCAAACTCGGGTCTGACCTTAATGGGCCGGCCCACATCAAACATGTCTTCTCCATGCCCAATGAAATTCCCACCAATCCTCTTAAATTCCTTTTATTAAAAAAAAAAAAAAAAAAAAAAGAAAAAGAAAAACGTCCAGTCGGTTAGGCAACGGGTCGGGTTATTTTCGGTTTTTTGTTTTTCCTCCCTTCCAGTTACTAACCCTTTTTTCTTCCTCTGTTACAGGGTTCTTCTCTTTGTGCTTGCGGTTCTCAGTAAGGACTTCAACACGGAAATAAGTACCCAAACAGGAGTAAGTTTATTCTCATAATTTTTTTCTTGTTTGATTTGTTTCAGTTGCTACTTCATCTAGAGTATGCATCTTTAAAGTAATTCTCTTCCCTTCTCTAGTGGAAGAAAAATCGATTTGCTATTATATTTTTTGTGGAGAATTAGAAAAACAGGACTCTCGCAAGTTATTTATTCTTATCATTATTGTTCTTGTTGTTGTTTATGTGTGTTTTTCATAGTTTCATGCAAGCTGAGGCCAAATAGAAGGTGCTACCTGAGCTCCCCTTATGTTTTTATTTTCAATTTCTTTATTAGGACTAACGGTGCAATTTTTTTTAATGGTTTGGTTATTATATATATGTTTTTTTGTATTTAATGCATTGTACTATGTTAACAACCCATGAAAAGTTTTCCCTTGAATTTTAAATTACTTTCTTATTTGGTATCGTATTGCATATCATCTTTTTAGTTTACTTAGTTTGATGGTTTTGCTTTTCTAGATGAAGGATTGATGAACTTAATGTTTGCAGATTTTTTGATGTTTTGTTTCATAAGCAGACAAATTGAAAAGGGTTTCAATGTTAAACTTCTAACTTTATTGACGAATAGACATCACAATGTAGGTGGAATACGGGGGAGGCATATTTGGTGAAGTGCTGGGCTGTGCATGGTTTCTGTTGGTTCGAGAGCTTTACAATCTAACCGGGGATAGCTTAATGGGTGAGGAGGATCATCAATCTTATAATCATGGTGGAAGGAAAAGGGGCAAGGGAAGGAAGGCCAACAGAGAAGGTTTTGGTTTTGATAAGGATAATTCTAACAAAACTGTGTCAGGGCATTCTACCAATGCAACTGTGAAAGGTAAAAATTCCTCCAAATATCATCGCGCTTCAGAGTCACAAACAACCTTTATCAGGTAATGAATTGTTACCCCAGATTTCTAATGATTTTTTGTTAGCCTTGTTTACTTGTCCTGGTTAAAAATTCAAATAGAGCTTACCAGTGTTAGTTGATAATAAATGTTCATTTCAAATGGGTTCGAAAATTGGTTTGTTAATGACTTGGGTTAATTGTGTGTAGAAAGCAGATTGATCCAGAAACTACAAAATACTTTTCTGAAATTGCAAATCTTTTTGAAAGTAATGAGGTTGACTTGGAGGAGCGATCCTTTATGTGTGGCAATGCTCTTGAAGAAGCGAGAGGGAAAGAGCTAGAACTTGCAACTGATTATATCTTAAGCCACACTTTGCAAACTCTGCTTGAGGGTTGTGATGTGGACCACCTTTGTGGTTTCATTAAAAGTTGTGCAAAGGTCTTTCCTACCATTGTTATGGACAGATCTGGTTCTCATGTATCAGAAACAGCTTTGAAGTCATTAGCCATGCATCTGCAGGACTCAGAGGCTTATTCTGTTATTGAAGAGACTGTATCTCTGATATGCAAGGTATCAAATATTTGATGATAGTTAGATTATCTCTCTGGCCCCAGATATATGTGGGAACCAGTCATTTATGCCCTTGTTTATGCTGTGTTAACCAATGGAAACAATCTCTCTGGATTTTTCTTTTTAAGATTTTGATGAATATTACCAATTCTTTTGAGGACTTCTATAATGAAGAATCTAATTATCTACGACGGTTGATCATTTCCAGGTGATTGTAGCCAATCCTGTTGATGTAATGTGTAACTGCTATGGGTCTCATGTTCTTCGGACGCTTCTTTGTCTTTGTAAAGGAGTACCTTTGGATTCCTCCGAACTTCATGGGGCAAAGTCATCAAAAGTACTAGCGACACGGTTGAATCTCAATGTTTCTAGATTGGAGGGGAATGACTCACAACAGTCTCATAAGGGTTTCCACATTTATTGAGTTT